ACACTACCCCAGGAAGCATGAAGTTGTCATCAGCATCCAAATGCCAGTCTACATGACTTTAAAACAGAGTATTACATTAGTAATATAATAATTGTTTTGGGTTTGCTAATATAATTTTAGAGCAAAATACAAGCGGCAAAACAAAATTTGTATGTATTGAAGAGAAATTTCTTGAGTCAGAGTCTCCTGATAGCCCCAGCTGGCCTAAAACTTGCTATGTAATCCAAGCTGGCCTCAATTTCAGCGATCCAACTGCTTCTAACTCCCAAGTGCTGGGATTAAAGGCATGCACTATCATATCTATCCAAAGGAGAATATTTTTAAAGACCAAGAGACAGTGAAATTTTGAGATCCAATGGCTAAATTAATGTTCTTAAGTCACTTTATGCACCAAACAACTACAAAAAGCCTGCTTTGTAAATGGGCCAGGTGTGGTGGTACATGTCTTTAAACGCCATCACTCAGACGGCAGAGGCAAGAGGAGCTCTGAATTCAAGGCCAGCTTGGTCTACATAGCCAGTTCCAGGCTAGCCAGGGCTAACCATATCGCCAGAAAAAAAAAAAAAACAAACAAAAAACGAAATTTTGTAATGTCGATTTTAAGTGTCCACTTCTGCTACAGACACATGCAATTTCTACCAAGGGGTAGATGTCTTTAGCCATGCTGGGATCCCTTGCCTCATACTAGGTCTTGAGCTCTACAAAGAGGTTATAAGCATGAAAGAAGTCTTCCCCACAAGGAACTTCCCTTAATCATGTGCTACATAGGACAAAGGTACACTCAGGGTGCTGCAGAACTCAGTTCTGTAGCACTCAGTTTAAACTCAAGAATTAACTGATTCCTAAAAAGCCTTCTTACCAGTGTATTAAGGAGTGAAGTAAAAAATTTAAAAGGGGGGGGGGCATTTAATTTCAGGCAAAGAAACTACCAAGAGAAAAGGCAGCAATATTTGTTTTCAACACAGTGGGTGGAGGGACGTGCAGAGAAGGCCTTAAAATGAAAGGTGGAGCAGGGAATGGAGATACAGATGGTGGGGTTACAATGGGCAAGTCCTGGACCTTGGGGCAGTCCTGATAAGTTTCTAAGGGTCACACAACAGGATGTGCCTTTAGAGGACTATCTGAATGTAATATGGCAAAAACAACTTGTGCAAATAAAAATAAAAGAGTATTCTAGTCTCTTCAGGCAGATAAGCATCATCCTAATTAATCAACTTTAAGGCAAAACTTCCCCTGACCAGAATTCATAAGGAACATTTACAGTGAAGACTCAGTCTTGCATCAGTGAATATTAAGCTCCTTCTAAAAAAATAATTAGATAGCATGCTTTCAATTTATGCATGTATGAAATATTTTAGTATTACAAAGCTACCACCTAGGTTTCAGTAGCTGGGGTGGTAGAGCAAGAAAGAAAAAGATCATCCAAGAAGGTCATGTAAACTCAGCAGTGTCACTCCAAATGCAAATCCTTCATGATTAAAACAGGGTCATGACAGAAAAGTGGTACAACTTTAGAAACACACCTGACAAGAGGTGTGGGGGAGGGGAGCAAGGAACAGAAAGGAAGGAAATAGAGCTGAGCTAATAATTTTTCCTGTTCCTAAGGAAGACATTTATAGATGGGAAAAATAAAGCTGTTTATAAGGCAGAACATTAGGGGCAAACATTTCCAGGCTGGAACTTACCTTCTTTCTCTTCTTTTTAAAAAAATTGAGAGTCAGAAGACAACTTTAGAGTTGGTTCTCTCGCACCATGTGGATTCCAAGGATGGAATTTGGTTCTCAGGCTTGGTGGCCAGCACCCTGGCCAGCTGAGCCATCTTGAAGGCCCTTCCCCTTCTCAAGGGAATCTAGAGGCTTCCAACTTCTCATCCGAATAAGAAAATTCATTTTCTAATCAAAGTAACTTCAGAGACAGAACAGCTCCAAAGATCTCAACAAGTACACACAAGAGCAGAGCTGGGCCTGGTGACACACATAATCCCAGCTACTGTGGAGGCAAAGGCCTGCCTGGGCTACAAGATAAGGTTAAGTCCAGCCTGGGCAATTTAGTAAGACTCTATCTTAAAATAAAAATATGGACGTTTTAAAAAAGAGAGTTAGGGATACAGATGAGTGGTAGTGATCAAGCACTGGGGTTCAACATCCAGTACTGCAAATAAACAGAGAGCATAATATTTAAACTAAACTGAAGCTCATGAATTTAATCCTCAGAAAGTAGTGGAGCTATTTACTGTATGCTCTAAAATTAACACAGAGAAGAAGAAAAAAAAACCAGAACTCTTCACATGAAAAAAAGAATATACGCAAAACTGCAGCACCATCAGTTTTTAAACACTGCTTCCCCACAGGCACAATTTCAGTGTTTACATTTTCTACCCATTAGAAGAAGGCTAAATGGCTCAATGGCAAAAATTACAAAAGACACAGAGATTTTCCTGCTTCTACTAATCTGAAAAGAACATCCTTCAATCTGACAGAATCTGCAGTACTCCATGTTACTAAAGCACATTTAAAACTCTAGGTGAGAGCAAACAGGATCTGCAGTGACATACCCACACAGCACTTCTCCAACTTCAAAGACCATCACAGAGATAGCACCTTCCTAAGCAAAGGACTTAGGTTGTAATCCTAGTTCCTATTTTGATGGAAAGTATGAATGCCAACATGACACTGTGAAGTAACAATGAGAGGGGTCTGTCAGCCATTTCTTCCTTGGTAACATAAAACAAGTCAGTTACTGTAAGTTTGTAACTCGTTGCAAATCTGAATAGTTGCACTACTTAAAGGCACCATTTATTGTAATTACCATTAACAACCTGATGTCCAAACTTGCACTTAGCTTTGAGAATTATGTTTTAGATACTTCCTGAAGATTACTTCTTAAAAACAGGTGACTAGGTAAAAATATTTGTTTCCACAGAGTTCAAATGTATCTTTGTCAAAATTTATGCAGACAAGTTCAATAAGTTCATTAAATCTCACTTTTTTAAAAAAAAGGGCAAACTCCAGAATATTAAATACAATTTCTCCCTGAATTCACTGCCACTTAATTCCAGCTGTTCTTCTGCAGAACATGGTAAAGGGAACACCAGGACTTCAAGGCTGTGTAGTCCTCTTTTGGAATCCCACTCAAAAACAGCACAGCTCCTTTCTTCTCCAAACAGATGTTTTGCCTCAGAACCTGTCTTCTATGCCAGACACATGTGATCAAGGAGGAAAAAAAACTACCAATAAATTAAAGTTGACAGCTACAAGGTCGAATTTTAAAAATTGCAATTCAGTAACAATAAAAGGCACAACAGCCAACACTACATGTTTATGCTACATCAGCCCAACAGACTTTCACGTGAGAAATTCAACCACCAAGAGGATAACCTCCAACTCCTGAGAAGCTATGCCATTTTTAATCATGTAAATAAGCCAACTCAAGTCACATTAATATTTCAGAATACAGGATGAAGCATTTCTAACCAAGTTTGAGGGGAAGTGTACAAATAAAAATTTATGGTTCAATAATAAACTTGTTAGTCTGATGCCTCTCATAAAGTTTAAACTTCAGCACTCCAGCGAACCTCCTTAAGCTATTTCTCCTACAGCTTGATTACAAAACTGCCTTTCAGTGTATTAAACACAGAGGAAAAGCCACAACCATTTCAACTTCTGTAAATTAACCCTGGCTGTAAACTAGGGAGCCAGTCAGGTTGGGGAAGTATGGAAATTGCACACTGAATATACTATCTGACCACCAAAGAAAGTGAACATCACTCCTCTCCCCTTGAGGTCTTTGCAAACTACAACTCAGCACAAACTTCCAGTGCGTTTTTAAATGTGCAACACAATTTGAAAATGAGAGTAGGTGCAGATGCTAAAGCAAACACTACCTCCGTTAAAACCCTCCTCCTGAACTGTATACTTACGAACTAATTTCGCTGCAGCCAAGAGAAACCCTCTCATTTATTCAGTTATGGAAAGCTTCTGAGTTTCAGTTTATGATTAAGACGTATTTAGCAGCCGGTGAGAAGGTGAATGGAGGTTGGATCAGTAGATCATTTTCTACAGATAATTTTTCACATTGCAAGCCAGTCAAAAGTCAAGACCACTTAACCAAAAATTGAGGGGGAAACCGCGATGACATTCGCTGAAAGTGGCAAAACGCGAAGACCTGAACTCTGAAACAAACTTAACGTTCCGACTGCACACCAGAGAAGCAGGTGGTAGGTTCTAAAAGGGCCCATTAGTCCTTGGTTATTATTATTATTTTTTAACTCTTTCAAAGTCTGCCTGGCACAAGTCTACCGAGTGGAGGGGGGAAAAGGGGCAGCAGCATTCCAAGCACATACCCGAGCCACAGGCTCCTAACTTCCTGGTTCTAAAGGAATGCGATTCCCTAAAGAGCCATCTCTCCCCCGAAGCAGTAAGCGCGGCTGTCTGGCCGACTGCGGTGCAACCAAGGGGGCGAGGCTCCGGCGCCGCACTGCGGGTCCCCGGCGCTGGCCGGGCCTCGGGGCGCTACCGTCTGCGACCCCCGCCCAGCCTCCTCCGCCGGCCACCGGGCGAATCGGACTCCCCTCCGGGGCTCGCCCGGCCCAGCCGAGCCCGCAGGTCCTTCCCCGGCCCAGCCGAGTCCGCAGGTCCTTCCCCAGCCCAGCCCAGCCCAGCGCAGCCCAGCCCAGCCCAACCCAGCCCGGGCCCAGCCCAGCCCAGCCCAGCCCAGCCCGGGACGAGCCCGGGCCCACCTTGGGCCCAGCCCGGGCACCCGAACCCCGCCGGGCCTCAGCCGCGCTGCCCCTCCCTTGACCCTCAGCAACCCGACCCGACCCCGACAGAGCCCCGGCCCGGCCCCGGACCCTCCCCGGCCTTGCCTGGCCCTGCCCTGCCCGCCGCTGGCCGAGTCCCTCCGGGAAGATGGCGGCCCGGTGACAGGCGGGTGCGGGCGCGGGTCCGAACACGGTCAGGGAGAGAAGCCGCCCTACAGGAGACTGAGGGCGGCCCGCTCACCTGTCAGCGCCGCCCGCCCCGCCCGACCGGCCGCCCGCGGGCTCCTCGCCGCAGCTCCGGTGCCCGGCGACCGCGCAAAACACGCGGGGACGGCCGAGGAGGGAGACGGCAGGAAGAGGCGGCACGGCCGGGCCGGGCCGGAGACAAGAAAGACCGGCGGGCGCGGACTGGGCAGCGGCGGTGGCTGATGATTCCCCTTTCGGGCCCGAAAAGGTCTCAACCTCGAGACTCCGGATCCCCAACGCTCCTTCCCGTTCGCATGAGAACACACAGCTCCCACTTCCGGGGCTCTGCGGAAGTCCCGCCCCCGCGCGGCCCCGCGCCCTACCCCGGCGCCCTCACCCACCTGGCCCGCCGACTGGCGTTTGGCGCCCGGGAGAGACTCACGTCATGGCGGTGCTGCGCGGTGATTTGCTAAGCGGGGGCCCGGCACCGCCCCTACGCTTCCCTCGGCCTCTCGGCGCTCGCCCCTCTCGCGGCATCTGTGATTAGCGCGTGCGCGAACGACGCCGACCCCGCCCCGCCCCGCCCCACGCAACGTCAGTCTGGACTCACGCAGCCTCAAGCCCCACCCCCTGCCGCTGCGCGTGTCGCTCGGCCCATCTCGCCCCGCCCACGCCACAGGCCCCTCCCCGCCTATACCCGGGCTGGCGGTCTAGCCCGGCCTAGCCCAGTCCAGCCGCACCTGCGACGACCGTGGCTCCGCTTCTGCCCGGCCGCCGTCGACCCAGACCCCAGACCTGCTTCTCCGACGTAGGTGTGGACGCCAAAAGAGCTTCCGGGAGGCGGTAGTCCGATTGCGGCCCTTCTCTTATCAGTTCTACAGGAAGTTCCCCAGGAATATGCCGCAGCTCCTTAAACCGTGAAGCTTGTTTCTCAGCATTCTTCACTGGTTACTGTATACAGTTCCTGATTCCATGTTGTGTGACTTTTTCCCTGTTAATGCTCTCCTGGGACCGTATCCGGGTTTCTGTGCACCCGTTCTGATCATTACCACTAATGTTATTCAAACACTGGATGTTCTACCTTTTGGGAAAGAGGCCTCTTGGATTCCCATGTGTTGGGGCTTTTTGAGGGAGTTGGTTTTCTCAAACTCAGGTCGTTAGACTTGGCGGCAAACACCTTTACCCGATCAGCCGTCTCACCTTTTGTGATACTTTCTTGCATCTTAGCCTTAAGAAAAGTTGCAAGTTCATTGTATTTATGATACTGTTTCTTCCTTCTTTTCCGGAGACGGGCTGTTTAGCCCGGGCTGGCCTTCAACTCACATTGATTCTCTTGCCTCTGCCTCCTGGTGCTGGAAGTAAGACCATGCTCTACTCACAGCCGTGTTTCTGAAGATAAGAGATTGTATAAGACTGAAATTTCCTAGTTATTGAATTATTAGTATTAAACACTTCCCTTTCCTGGCCGTTCTGCCTGCTGTTCGTCCGGCCATATTTCTCAGTATGGCAGCAGGTCTCTGCTGCTGTCCATCATCCACAGACCAGTAGGGCGTTTCCTTTACACATACCATCTTTTGAGTAAAGAACTTCCCTGGCTCCTTGTTGTCCAAGTACTACTTTGCACAAAGAAGCCCTTCCCAGTCCCAGCCTGTTTTCAGCCCAGTCCCTTAGCTTTGCTACCCTGTAAGGTGAAGCACCCTAACTTTCCAGTTGCATATGTGTACCAATTGGTTTTCAGACAATTGGATGAGTTGCTGGGTCTACACTGAAATAAAACACAGGCTTCACACCTTAGATGGTGCAGTTGACTAAAAGATGAGTTGGTCCTTAATGTGTGATTTGTCCTATAAAGCAGACACCGCTGGGAACGCAGCTCAGTGGTAGAGTGCTTGCTTGCTCTGTTCAAGGCCCTGGATTCCATCCCTACCATGGGAAAAAAAGATGAAAATAAAGTCCAGTGGAATTGGGGTCCGGAGCACCTTAGGTACTAAACGGTCTATTAAAGACTTACCACGTCAGAGTCAAATGCAGCAAGCCAAGTACTCAGGGAGGAGAGGCTGAGGCAGGAGAATCACCATGAGTTCCAAGCAAGCTAGGGAAGCAGTATGAAACCCTGTTTCAAAAACCAAAACACAACAAGAAATTAAAAATAAAAATATATTTTGTATTGTGTGTTTATGTGTGTGGATGCACATGTCATGTGCAAGTGGTGACCAGAGGGCAACTTGTGGGAGTTGGTTCTCTCCTCCCACCATGTGGGTCCCAGGGATCAAACTCAAGTCATCAGGGTTGGCAGTAAGCGCCTTTGCTGGCTGAGACATCTTGCCAGCCCTCTTCACTATGATTTTCAATTTACACCACTGTCATCCCAATTAAATGGTCAGTTCACCAAGTCTAAGGGCAGTTCAGTCATCTCCTATGTGTCACATACTAGAGAATCAGTGAATGAATGACATCAGCTAAACTGACAAGACAGTATTTTCTTGGTAAAGGCTTAAGTTTCATGGGGCCTCTGAGAATATTCTAAGTTTTATCTTTGGGAACTTCATACATATATACAATGAACTATAATCATATCTATCCCATTCCCCCTCCTACTCCCCCTACAACCATGCCCCCCCAATGCCGTATTTTTTTAAAATAACCCATTAAGTCCAGTTAATACTGCCCATGTACACATGGGTGTGGATCATCCACTGGGGCATGGGAACCCTTCCAGTGGCCACATCCTCAGAAAAGAATGATTCTCCCTCTTCCAGCAACTATCCACTACCACTAGCTCCTCAGTAAGGGTGGGGCCTGGAGATGATCTACCCCGTCTATACAGGGATTTTGGCTGGCTTGATATTGCATAGGTCTTGGGCAGGTAACCATAGCTACTGTGAGTTCATGTGTGCAATGGCCCTGTCATTCCCAGAAGACCGAGTTTCACAGCACTCCTCCCTATCCTCAGGCTCTTACTTTCTTTCTGCCTCCTCTTCCATGATGTTCCAGAAGCCTTGGTGATGCTGGGTTAATACTAATGTCCCATTTGGGGCTGAGCACTCAGTCTCTTAGTCTCAGTACCTTGACCATTTATGCATCTCTGCATTGACTGCTGCCCAGTGCAAAAAGAAGGTTGAGAGCAGCCCAGGTCTATGGACATAAATATTTAGAAGGCAATTTGACATCATGTTCAGTGAGCAAAACAACAGCAGATTCTACCCAAGGGCACATGACCTCCTAGTAATGGGCTTTTGACCAGCATTATAGTACCAAGCATGAAGTTCTCTCCTGAGGAGCAGGCCTCAAATCCAATCAGAAAGCGATTAGCTACCCCATAACAGTCATGACATTATAGCGCCAGTGGACAGCAGGTTGTTATTGCAGCATGTAGGGTCCAGTGCTAGGCAAGACCCTTAATGTCTTTTCTCTCTTAGCAGCCTGCATAGTATCTTCTAGCACTATGAAAGCTAGACAGCATGGAAGAAGTTTCCCAGTTTGAGATTGATTTTGCTGTAGCGAAACTGTGTGGTGTCTTCAGCAGTAGGGTCTTATCTTGAGGTTATGGTGGGTAACCAAGGGCAATGGCAACAGCTTGTATTGTTTTGGAGATCTTTTGGGGCTTCCTGACCAATAACTTTTAAGGAGGCATCCCAGGCCTTGTACCTCTATTGTCATTTACTAACCCACGTCTTCCGGGACCAGCATTGTCCATCCATGCAGGGTAACTCTATTCAAATTTCTTTTTAAGTTATATTCTGAAATTAACTAACTAGTGGATTTCCAGAAGGCTTTTTCACAGATCCTTAGTTTTGGTTAACCCATGCACTACCCCCTCCTCTTCCCTATCTCCCCACCCCAGCCCCGCCTAACTCTTTAACACAGTGTTCCCTCCTCTTTGTTCAGTTCACGTGTTGTGCTGGATAACTTTAGTGTCAACTTGACACACCTGGGTTGAAGGAACCTCAGTTGGGAAATTGCCTCTATTGGACTGGCCTGTGGCCATGTCTGAGGGGCATCTTCTTGATGAGTGATGTGGGAGGGCCCAGCTCAC